CTGATGATGTTACCTAGTTTGGTAACAAAAGGTCTGTAATAAAACAATCCAGCTCAGAGAGCACCAAGGACCCACACAGTTAAGTTTATTTATTTATTTGATTTTTACAGCCAGCCATCTCAGCAACCGATTCTCAGAAAGATGTACTTTTGCCTTCAAAATATTTTTCATTTTGCTTATTTTTACAAAAAAATTTTTTTTGCCTACTTTATTTATTTCGATGAGATGGGCAGCTAAAAATGGGATAAACAAATCAAAGAAGTAAAACGTTTTGCTTTACGACTCGGTTTTGCTTTACTTTTAACCTTTTTGGCTTCTTTCTACTTTTAAAAGTTTTTCAAATATTTCTGGGGGGTTTCGGCTTTCCAAAATACAGCCGATACGGTCTTTATGAATTTATTGCAATTTCTACGTTTCCCCCCAGTCCTTGCAAACTCAAGGGGATTATGGTCTTCAATGTGGTTTAAGGACATTTTGGGTTGTTGTTTTTTAATTGATGGTTTAGCACCGAGATGGTTGATTGAAGCAGGAGGGAAATGCTGTCGAATAAATACATAATCCTAGGATAAATCCTGCAGTTGCGTTTACGTCAGATGCTTAACTCAGTTAGGGAGCTAATCTGTAGCCAGGAATCCCAGGCCATCTGGATAAGCTGGGTTAAAACACGCTAAGCCACAAAACTAGTAGAACCGATCAAAATTAACCGAGGCCCAGATTAATTGTGGCACCCCTGAAGGCAGGTATGCACATAAATTACGGCATCTGAAGTCAAATGTCAAGATAGTCCTTGACTTATGACTGCAACCGAGCCCAGAATTTCTGTCGCTAAGCGAGGCCATTGTTAAGTGTGTTTCCCCCGAGTTTTACAACCTTTCTCGCCACAGTTTGTTAAGTGAAACACGATCCCGGGACATTGCGACCGTCGTAAATATGAGTCAGTTGCCAAGGGGCTGAATTTTGATCCCCGGGGAGACTGCAATGGGGAGGCTGCAACGGTCGTAAGTGTGAAAAGCGGACCTAAATCAGGTTTTTCCCCCAGTGCCGTCGTATCTTCAAATGGTCACTAAATGAACTGTCGTAATTTGAGGACTGCCCGTATTTTTCTTTTGATTCCCGTGGGCACATTCCTAAATTTTAAGGCAGAATTTAGATTTAAGTTGTCCTCAATTTACAACTGATTGGATTAGTGACCGTTTGAAATTACGATTGATCAAAGAAAAAGGTGCAGGAAGTTCTAGACTTAACTTACAACTATTTGTAAAAGTTTAGCATCAATGTGTGTTGAAGATTCTCAACAAGAGCAAAAGGAAGACATTTTGAAAATTCAATTTTTCAGCAATTCGATGCAACAGAACTTCCGCCATACTTACCCACTCCGGCCGGCCCCCGGGGTTCCAAACGGGTCAAACCTGGCCCCGGGAGGAACGGAGCCAGGGGGGAGTCTGCTGGGGAGCCCAGAAGAGGGGTCCAGAACAGGATTCCGAAATCCTGACCGAAGCGGATCAAAGATCATTCCTCCTCCGCCTCGGCCGCTGAGCAAGAGAATCGAGAGTGAATTAGAGGCAGTTTGGTCTAGTGGTTAAAGCAGCAGGTTAGAAACCAGGAGATGGTAAGTCCTAGTCCTGCCCGTTAGGCAGAAAAGCCAACTGGGTGACTTTGGGGAATCACCAGGAGACTGGGAGTTCTAATCCTTCCTTAGGCATGAAAGCCGGCTGGGTGACTTTGGGCCAATCACCAGGAGATTGGGAGATCTAGTCCTTCTCTAGGCATTAAAGCTGGCTGGGTGACTTTGGGCCAATCACCAGGAGATTGGGAGTGCTAGTCCTTCTCTAGGCATTAAAGCTGGCTGGGTGACTTTGGACCAATCACAGGAGACTGGGAGTTCTAGTCCTATCTTAGACATGAAAGCTGGCTGAATGACTTTGAGCCGATCACTAGGAGATGGAGAGTTCTAGTCCTGCCTTATTCAGGTATGCCAAGTGGATGACTTTGGGCCAGTCGCCAGGAGACAGTAAATTGTAGTCCTTTCTTAGACATAAAAGCCAGCTGGGTGACTTTGGGCCAATCACTAGGAGACGGTGAGTTCTAGTCCTGGCTTAGGCACAAATGCTGTCTGCGTGACTTTGGGCCAATCATTCTCCCATCTCACAAGGTTGTTTTGGGGAAAATAAGAGAAAGAAAATTAGTATCACCATCTTGAGGTATTTTTTAAAGTAATAAAAGCGAGCGATGGGTTGGTTGACCATCTGCCCAAGGAAGCTTCTAGCTACCTGGGGAATTCTGGGAACTGAAGTCCACCCATCTGAAAGTCGCTAAGGTTGAGAAACGTGGAAGAACTGTAAAAAGACAACCCTCCAAATGAGGAACTGACTTACCCCAAAGGATCCAGATCTTGTCTGCCGATATCAAACGGACTGAGTGGATCTGGCCTAAAACAGAACTCATTTTCATTACACCATCGGACATTAGGACCCTGAAATAGGGTGAAATGGAGACCCTCCTTGGCATTATAAAACCCCGGTGAGGCCACACCTGGAATACTGCAGCCAATTTGGGTCACCCATATCACAAAAAAGATGTTGAGAGTTTGGAAAAAATCCAGAGAAGAGCAACTAAGATGATCCAAGGCCTGGAGGCTAAAACATACGAAGAACGGCTGCGGGACTTGGGTTTGGCTAGTCCACAGGTTGGCAACCTGTGGCTCCCGAGCCACATGCGGCTCTTTGAGCCTTCCCCTGTGGCTCCCAGCCTCCTCTGCCATTTGCAGACAAAGACAGAGAGAGGCACTTGCGCTCCCCTGCTTCTCTCTCTCTCTCTCTCTCTCTCTGTGTTTGTGTTTGTGTGTGTGTGTGTGTGTATGTATGTAAAAGAGAGTGCACTCACAGTATTCTCTGACAAGCTGAAAAGCTTTTTGGGCGGGGCTCCTCCCTTTGCTGCGTCTCTGCAGGAAGCAGGAAGGACAGGAGAGAGGTAGCTAGCCCAGCTATGCTGACTCAGGAATTCTGGGAGTTGAAGTCCATGAGTCATAAAAGAGCCGAGGTTGCCTACCCGAGCTTGTTGGAGAACAGCTTGAAGCCAGCTTGCCAGGTGAGCAGAAGATCGGAGAGAGAGGGGGGGGGAGAAAGAGAGAGAGAGAGAGAGAAAGAGAGGGAGGGAGAGAGGGAGGAAAGAAAGAGAGAGAAAGAAAGAGAGTGGGGGAAAGAGGACTGGGATACCAAAGCAGAAAGAGAGGGAGGGAGAGAGAGACAGAGAGACCCTTTTGACATCTAAAATGAAGATAACACTGCATATATCCTTTTTTATCTTTATGAGACACAGACACAGACACAGACACACACACACACACACACACACACACACACTCTGAAGGTTAAAAAAGGATATATGCAGTGTTATCTTCATTTTAGATATCAAAAGGGTTTTGCGGCTCCTAGTGTTTTGTTTTCGGTGGGAAACGGGTCCAAGTGGCTCTTTGAGTGTTTTGGGTTGCCTACCCCTGGGCTAGTCTAAAGAAAAGAAGAAATAGGGGAGACATGATAGCAGCATTCCAGTATTTGAGGGGCTGCCACAAGGAAGAGGAGGGGGTCACATTATTCTCAAAAGCACCAGAGGGAAGGATGAGAAACAATGGTTGGAAACTGAGCAAGGAGAGAAGCAATCTGGAATTAAGGAGAAACTTCCTGACAGTGAGGACAATCAACCAGTGGAACAGCTTGCCACCAGAAATCGTGGGCGCTTCATCACTGGAGGTTTTTAAAAAGAGGCCAGACAGTCACCTGTCTGAGATGGTATACGTTCTCCTGCTTGAACAGGGGGCTGGACTAGAAGACCTCCAAGGTCCCTTCCAGTTTCTATTCTATTCTATTCTATTCTATTCTATTCTATTCTATTCTATTCTATTCTATTCTATTCTATTTCATATATTCTATTCTATTCCATTCTATTCTAGTCTAGTCTACTCTATTCTATATACTCCATTCCATTCCATATTTTCTATTCTATTCTATTCTATTCTATTCTATTCTATTCTATTCTATTCTATTCTATTCTATTCTATTCTATTCTATTCCATTCCATTCCACTCCACTCACATAGCGTGCCTCCCATCATTCTAGTCCTCAATGAGGGCCACCGATCCACAAATCAGGTGCGGTCAGCCCACCAGAAGCACAAGGCACTCACCAGTTGGGCTGCCGGCTGCCGTGAGGATGTCGAGGTGGGATCCAGAGAGGGTCGTGGTCAGGAGGATTGGGTGGGGAGGGGTTCCTCTCCCGTTTTGGCTCTTCCTCCTTGGCGTTGCTTTGCCGCTTCGAGGTTTCAAAAGGGGAGATTATGTGATGCACAATCTGGGTCTGCAACTCCTCCACATTCCGATACACCCTGTAAAAAGGGCAAGGAAGAAAAAGAGTCACCAGGAAGGCCAGGAAACACACACTCCTCGACTTACGACCTTTCGTTTAACGTCCGTTCCAAATTACGACGGCCTTGGAAAAAAATGGGATTTATGACCTGTCCTCAAACTTAACAACTGTCACAATATAGATTGGGAGAGACCTGGCTCAAAAACAGCAACTGTGAGAGGGACCTTGGAGTCCTAGTGGACGATCGCTTGACCGTGAGCCAGCCGTGTGCAGCAGCAGCCAAAAAAGCTAACACAATCCTGGGTTGTATAAACAGAGTCATAGAATCAAGATCATGTGAAGTGTTAATACCACTTTACAAGGCCTTGGTAAGGCCACACTTGGAATACTGCAGCCAATTTTGGTCACCGTATCACAAAAAAGATGTTGAGAGTTTGGAAAAAATTCAGAGAAGAGTAGTTAAGATGATCCAAAGCCTGGAGACTAAAACATACGAAGAACGGCTACGGGACTTGGGTTTGGCTAGTCTAAAGAAAAGAAGAAATAGGGGAGACATGATAGCAGCGTTCCAGTATCTGAGGGGCTGCCACAAAGAAGAGGGGGGTCCCGTTATTCTCCAAAGCACCAGAGGGAAGAACGAGAAACAATGGATGGAAACTGATCGAGGAGAGAAGCAACTTGGAATTAAGGAGAAACTTCCTGACAGTGAGGACAATTAACCAGTGGAGCAGCTTGCCACCAGAAATCGTGGGCGCTCCATCGTTGAAAGTTTTTAAGAAGAGACTGGACAGCCATTTGTCTGAGACGGCGTAGCTTCTCCTGCTTGAGCAGGGGGCTGGACTAGAAGACCTCCAAGGTCCCTTCCAGCTTCTATTCTATTCTACCACTGCAGTGACAGGGTGGATGCTTGGCAACTGGTTCACATTTACGACCAGTTGCTGCATCCTGGGGTCACGTATTTTATTTTTATTTTATTTATTAAATTTATATATCGCCCTATCTCCCTTGCGGGACTCAGGGCGGTGAACAGGCGATACTACAAACCACAATAATAAATAAATAGTTTCCATGCTAAAATCAAATTAAATAACAGGCCTGTTCTAAAAACACCCCATACAAAACCCCCACTAAAACATAATCAAACTACGCCAGGTCGGCCGCACGGAATAGATGGGTTTTCAGGGCTCGGCGAAAGAGGCGCAGGTCCGCAGTTTTACGTAGGTCGGGGGGTAGGTCATTCCAGAGGGCAGGAGCTGCCACAGAGAAGGCTCTCCCCCTGGGGGTCGCCAGCCGGCATTGTCTGGCCGACGGCACCCTAAGGAGGCCCTCTCTGTGGGAGCGGACTGGTCGAAGGGAGGTGTTTGGTAGGAGGCGGTCTTGCAAATACCTAGGTCCATTGCCACGGAGCGCTTT